ACCCCGATGCGGCAGCAGCAGACAAGGACAAGGACAGCAAAGACGGCCAGGATGACGAACACAAGGATGACAACGACAAGAGCAAAGACGCTGATGACGAGGATAATGAGTCCAAGGCCAAAGAGGGCGACCCCAGTGAACCCCCGCCGGCAGCATCCGCCTCGGCCGCTGACGACGACAGGGACGACGCGGGTCGAGAGGACGACAGCGACGCGCCAAGACAGCGGCAGAAAGGTGCGGGGCGTGTGTAACGGGGAATTGATGGACAAAGAGGGAGGTTGCTGTGTGTTGGTATCGTATCGTCTGCCGTGTCAGTGCCCGTGACGACTCGGGAGAAGGTGGTGCATGCGCTGCAGGCGTCGCTGCCCACATGCCTCAACTCAATACACTCCGTGCAGCAGAAACTTGTAGAACGGTAGGTAGGTACACAACCGCACACACACAGAGCCTCGTGTTGTGTTGTGTCATGCCCTGTGTGCCGTGTGTGTCATGTGTGGGTCATGACAGGCACATCGAGATAGCCCAGAGCAAGGCCAAGTGGCATCTCCGCACCAGCCGGAAACAGCTGGAGGACCTGCTGGGACAGGCAACCGACAAACATATACCAATCAGAAAGGCTCCATGCCTCCCATCTGTGTGCAGGTGGTGACTGCCATTCAGACAAAGGTGCTCAACGACCCCCCCAGCCTCCAAACCAGCATGCGACACAGATGCCGGGTGAGTAGGTCGGTGGGGTGGGTGGGTGTGCTGTCTGATTTTATTTCGCAGCACACGTCGATGTGTGTGTGTGTGTGTATTTTTGTGTGTGGTGCAGGTGGTGTGGCTGGCCTTGGACCTGCTCCCGCCCGAGATGACGTCTCTGCTGCACCTGCACGCCCTCAACGAGCTGCCGCAGACGTCAGCCGTCCTGCGACACAGACTTATCGACCCTCTCACTAACATAGCAGAGGTACCCACCTACACCAAACAACCACACACACACACACACAAAACCACAACCACCCCTCCCTGCGTGTCTTGTCCACCCACCAGCGTGGCGCCACATCGGCGTCAGTGTCATCATCCCGCGGCGGCCACATCGTCACGCTCCACGACACAGACGAGGGCCGCCGGCTGCGTCATCGGCTCGAGGGCATCATCACCGACCTTGACCACACCGTCAGGGCGGCAGAGATGCAGGCAATAGCTACTGCCACAGGCCCCGGGGCAGCAGCAGCAGAGGCCGCTGGTGGTGCCAATGATGCGACCCCGGCGAGACCGTCGGCGCACCGTGGCTATGCGGGCAAGAGAGAGAGGGAGTGACTGACTGACTGACTGAGAGCCGCCAGACGGCGTCGTCATCGTTCATGGGGCAGCTAGCTAGCGTAGAAGGGATGGCGGGGCTGAGGAGATGGGCTGGCCGAGCAGCTCAGCTGTGTGTCTGTGTCGGTGTGTGTGGTGGGGTCGGTTGGGATGGGTGGTGTGGGACGGGGGAGGGGGGGGGTGTGTGTGAATAGACTGACTGACTGAATTGATGTGGTCGAATGGCTGGGCTGCTGATCGACGCGCCGCGAGTGTGTCCTGTCCCTGGATGAGCCCTCGTGGATGTGCCTGCATTTCCTTTTGCGTGGGTGTGCCTGCATGTGATGTGTCGATGGATGGATGGATGGATGCGTGTGTGTGTGCTAGAGAGTAATGACGCAGACCAGGACAACTGTGACACCGACCGCCATTACACGACGAGACTCGACCAAACGATTGTCCGTCCGTCCCGGCCCCCTACTAAAATCCGACAGACACATGACCTGCTGAATGCATGCAGCTGCCTTACTGACTGACTGACACAGCCAGTGAATGAAATGAATGCCACCCGGCCAAATCAATGAATTGTCTGCCTTTCGCAGGAGCACCCTCGTACGGTACGGATGCATAGCACACAGGGCACCCACCCGCAACGACCAATTAGACGCACACGTCAAGAAGGGTCACAACAGAGCAAACGTTGAAACTTGACACGGACGAAAAAAGTCCCAAGCGGTCTGTCTGTCACCACGCCGAAGCACAGCACACCGCTCCTCCCTCACCAACCCATTTCAGGAGGGTCCGCACACTCCATCACCTTCTCTTCTCCATCCCTCCCTTCATCCATTCCTATCTGCCTGCGTACCTGCCGGCCGGCCTCCTCGGTACACCACCGTCCGGCATCCACGCAGGCACTGCCAGACCGTCAAGCCGGAAAGCAGACAAGGCAGCCGTAGGATCGCACCAGAATCGCCCCAAAACCATCAAGTCTCAGTATGCATTGCATACACACACCCCTTGGCTCTCGATTCATGCAGCGGTCGCATCCATCTGTCTATGGCTGGCAAGTGATGCCGTTGAACTCTCCCACAGGGCACCGCGGCTCACACGTGTCCCCGTCAGTGCGGAAGCCGAAAGGGCAGGTGCCCCCAAACCGGGCTCTCGGCAGATCTCGCCGCCCGCTCGGGATGACCCGCTCGTTGCAGAACCGTGGGTTCCTGCACCGCTCTTGCAGCACCGTCTGCAGCCGACGTCGAAACGAGGGGCGGGGAGAAAGAGGGCTGGGGTGATGCGCTATCAGCAGTAATAAAGCCGAGACCACGACGGCTGCCATAGTCTCCAGAATGGTCCACCGTGGCTTGCTATGAGCGATGCGTTGGGGAGATACAGATGGCGGCGGAAGGGGGATGAAATGGCCGAGATCTCTTCCACTATCGGTTAAGTGAATAAGCAGATGTGCAGCCATGCTTTTGAGCATCGTTTCCCTCCCACAGAGTGCGAGCTGCGAATGCGATCCTCTCAGCTACCCCACCCCTGGAGGCGTTGAGAGGCTTTGCAGCACTCTGGCTGAGTGTTGTGGTGCGCTGCAGCTCAAGAAACAGGAGATCTTAAGATGGCGATGAATCTGCGACAATGTGTCTTGTCGATGATGGTGGCGGGGGTGCTTATCCATTCATTGGTTGCCGTTCCCCCTGCCCTCTGCTGAAACACACCCGCGCCACGGCCACTGCTGCACGGGAGATCAGCAGCTTCGCCCTCTCTTCAGGCCAACACAAGACAGCCTTGGGTCAGTCGGCTACCTGCCGGCCTTCATGAAGGCCGACAACAGCAGCCGACGACAAGGGATCGGAGTGGTGCACCAGAATGGCGAACAAGCATGAAGGCGATGCTCAAGCGTGCGTTCATCTCCTGTGCGGCTTTCCACTCATCGCCCTCATCTTCCTGACGCCAGCCATGCCGGCACTGGCCGACACGCCGGAGGCCCCGCCGCCCTCGCCAGCCGCCGTGCAGCAGCTCTCCTTGCCTTCTCTGATGGTGCAGGAGCAGCCTGTCCGTCTGGATGTGGGCGGCCAGCCCTTCGCCGTCGCCAAATCAACTCTTGCTAAGCATCCCGACACTGTGCTTGGGCAGCTGGCCAGTCAACTGGGGACGAGCAAAAGAGATCAGCCGGTGTTCATCGACGCTGATCCGGCGTACTTCCCTTACGTCGTGGATTACTACCGATTCGGCGCGCCCATCTATGTGGACCGATCGGTGGACATTCGCAAGCTGGTGCGCGAGCTGAGTCGGTTCGGCATTGCGATTGACGAGGTGCAAGACATTCAGCTGCCAAAGGAAGAGGCCCTCGAAGCGCTGGCTTACCGAGTGGCC